CTTGGAAAAATTCGCTGAGTAGTATTTCGTGAGTTATTAGTTTGGAGCTGATTTTGCTTAGATTGATGAACGATCACATATCATTAATGGGATTTCAATGGCAAGCTGAATTGCCTCATTTTGAGTTAGTTCTGGAATGCCTCGACTTGACGTGGAACGACAATTAGTTAGATATACTGTACTTTATTTCCCACTGAGACGATTGGCAGTTGGTTAATAACGCACTTAAATTTAATTGAATGATTGTTTGAAACTCGTGCTGTCGTCGTCGACGTCGTCGTGGTCTTCATCACCATGGATTTTTGATAGAAAGTGGGGTTATAGAGGGTCATGTCGGGGTAGGAGGGAGGGAAGAGGGACTTGGAATAGCGCCTGAGTAGGTGTTAACTTGTCTAGGTGTGAGTAGTACTGGGTATCACTCACTGATTCTACGGCTGCAGCGAAATTGGGCGTTTTTTAAAAGCACAACGAAACGAGGCTCGTTAGGTCGTGGACGTGAGGCATTCCACATGTTTGGAGGATGTTACCGAGGTGTAAATTAGGTCACGGCCTATTGCCTATGAGTAGGCAGGGCTTGTTGGATCAAGAACGGCAAGTTAGCGGAAAAGAGTCAAGTTATGCGGCGGGTGTCGAGGTGTAAAATCATGCCTACTGATATTCCACAAGTAGTGACGGTATCACAGACTCTACTGTCGCTAGGGGAATGCACCTCCTAGTCGGAAGTGTGCCGGAGACATGACAGCTGGAGTGCTTGAAAAAAATCACTGTGTAGTATTTTATGAGTAATTAGTTTGGAGCTGATTTTACTTAGATTGATGAACGATCACATATCATTAATGGGATTTCAATCGCAACAGAATTTGCATCACTGCCAATCTCTGAACAATCTTTCATCAAATTGAGTGTGGCATTTGGACTTCAGATATCTCGTGGCTGAAATCACAGAGAGTTCCTGGGCCAGATAATTTCTATCTAGACAAACTTTAAGCCTGAACCATAATGTTACTATCGACGAAGCTTACTTTTGCTTTGGATTTTCAATGACCGTGCAAACTCTGTCACCTACGACTTTTGACATCGGCCTTGGCGCCAGCAATACTAACTTTGAGTTGTGGATACCACTGAAACCACCAGATCACACTTCTGATGAAATGAATGAGCGACATCGGCGCCTGTCGTGCCAGGCACCCCCTAATCGATGGTATGTATAATTCTTTTTTCAGTTAACGTTACAAATGTTACGTTACTTCGAGCCGCATGATACACAAATCTGCAAATTATAGCAAAGTATCGAAATGCGGCAAATTACATGAAACAGATGAAAGGGCAGGTAGACGAACGTAGGTGATGGTGGAGCATGCACAGGGTTGTGATGTAATAGCATAAAATAGAGTGCGTTTTGAGAGGGAGAGAGTAGGTGGTAGACGATATTCAGAATGACATCTCAAGTCTGAAGCGCACACCGACGAAACGGCAGGAGTGAGACCACATAGTGTTTGCACTGAGTAGTCTGAAAGACTAAAACCCAAACACTGACTGACTAGGACTCACTGAGTGGAGTTGGATGTGCGTCGATCGACTGTTGGACGCTTGGAATTCCGCTAGCTGAATCGTCGCTGTTGTTTTCCTTCTCCACGTCCTTCACCACCTCCTCATTCTGCTCATCATTTGCGGATATCAGTTCTTCTAGTTGCCGCGATATGTTGCTTACTGTTTCCCAATTTGGGTAGTAAAACTGTCTCACGGCATCTTAAGTTAAACACTTAGTTTACAAGACAATTTGTATCAATAATCTCTTCAAATTCGCCAGTGTTCGTTGGAGGGGCAGCGTGCACCTGCGGCAACTTGCGTAGACACAGAGCATCTCCGTCAGGATATTTCTCAGAGTCACCACTTTACTCATGTCATACAAATTTGGACGGCCTTGAAAGAAAAACAAGTAAACAAACAGTCACAGACACACACACAACTTACTTCTACGTTGCCATCGCATGTTTGGATCTACGTTAGTTCCTCTTGAACTCCGATTTGGCGGTGCGGATGATGAGTGGGTGAGGACGTGTGTCTCACCCAATGCTTGTGGGCAGAGCGCTTGCGAGCTTGAAGAAGAATCGATCACTGGCGCGAAAACTCCACCGTTCACCTCGTGAGATGGCTGGTAGAATGCCGAGGCAGCCAGTTGTGTGTTTTGCATTGGTTGATCGCTGGAAGTGGGCGCGCATGGATGCGTGTTGCCTGTTGGTGATGTTTGTGTCGGTGAAGTGGATTGAATGGAGGAATCATCGTGGTCTCTTTTCCCAAGCGTAGTTTGAACGAGAGTGATAAATGATTGCTTCCACTCTGCAATGCTACATTCGCACGAATGAAACACCGAATCGGGGGTGGCAGTTGTGTGTTTGTGTGAGCGCAGGTTTGAATGCGCTCTGAAATCTGGTTGGCCGTGTGAGTGAGCGTAATAAACACGCGCACTGTGTAATTGGTTGAGCGTGGTGCACACTTGGCTAAAGGCGCATCATCATGCGCCTGTTTTCTGACTGTTTAATGCAGACGTGAGAACGACAGGTTCAACATACTGTCTCCTTGAATCTTCATTCTAAAGACCGACATTGTCGAAATTCGAAAATGACCACCTACATGTCGCATTTGTCTATTGCACGCAAGCACATTGTGCAATGATCTTTACTGTCTGGAATTTCAACTGGGTTAATTACTAGTGCCACAATGTGCCTCTTTAATCAGCATTGCCCTCCTCATCTGCATCGGCACCGCAATGATCTGGAATGGTTGGTGTAGTAGAACAAATCAATGACCAGGCATAAATATCTTTCGTAGCGAATTGGGCACATTTATACAGGTCGGGGCTTGGCACGTCGCAAGATTAAGAAATGATATCACAGCCGTAATCTGTTCCTGCCTGCAAACAATGGTTGGGTGGTATAGAGGACGATGAAGCGAGAACCTGATGGCCACAGCCGTGAATTCACGCGCTGCGCGTGATGGGTGACTGTGCGCTCGAGGACACGTGAGTGTGCGTGCGTGCGTGCGTGAGCGTGCGAGATCGCAGTGACCGAGTTGTGGTAAATCGTGCTCTTTCTCACCTAACCACTGACGCCGCTATCACCGCAATCCCCGATTCCCTGCCACCTTGTAACTGCGATCACACCGTCGTAAGGCGTGAGGAGCCCTCCGTTCGCAAGCTCCTGTGCATGCACAACCAACATTTAGCGTGGATATGAGGTTGAGCGTGGAGATGCACACCTATGTGGTCGATCAGTTTTCGAGGGAATATTTTAGTGAGGGATGCGCAATGGGCGAAATGTCGATGGCCCCACAATTCTTGAGTTAAAATGAAACGATGGTTGCCAGTTTAAGGAGTCAGGCAGTGAAGATAATGCCGAGTAAGAGACTCTGTGGCTGTTGACGCTTCATGTTTACT